TGCCATAAAGCATCCGATGTTGCAAAAGATCGCAAAGTTACCGTTGATGATTTCAAATTTATTTTGCGGAATGATTCGAAAAAATTAGCTAGAGTTGAAGAGTTATTGCATATGGAGCAAGAGATCAAGAAAGCTAGACAAAATTTTGATGTTAAAGATATTGATGAATAAAAAACTACTATTCTTCGAGGTACATGAAATAATAAATTAAGAAATTTATCTATCACCTTTGTCAAAAATTACTAATATATACTAATAAAATTTACAGTTTGTGTATTTTATTTTAAACCATTAGTGATTAAAATTTATCCAAATATATGAAATATATGCAAATTTTGTTATAATAAATAAATATAAATGTTGATTTTGATGTTGATTTTGACGAATAAAATTGAGTTTTTAATTCATTCAGAGAATCTAACAATGTTTACAATCTACAAATAATTTAATATTTAAGGAATGCTTTTAGAAAAATATTCAAGAATAATCTGTCATCCTAGTTACCTTGAAAAAGCATAGCTTTTTTTTTATTTATTAACTGCAGGATTATGAAAGAGAGTTTTGTCACCGTCACCCCATGGAAAAGGCTAATAATTGTATCGAAAAATAAGAGATAAGAATTGTAAATAGATGCGATTTTAAAAACAGATGTTTAGAAAGATACCTTGGTTCTGATACGTTGGTATTGATAAGGGGGATGATCTTCGTCTTTATGTTCATGCCCGTGAGCCTCGTGTTCCTTCATGATTCTGTATGAATTTGCTGTACCCAAAAGGAGGGCTGGGAGACAAACATAAATAGTGATATTTTTCCAGGTTTTGGCGGTGCCTATTAATAAAAAATCAAGATGGATCGAAAGAATCGATAAATCAAAAAAATTAGATTGAATATTGCCGGTGGAAATTTTTTTTATATAAATTATCAAACAGGAACGTAAAAGTAACTATTGGATAGTATCCGAATAAGTGATATCCGAATAAGTATGGATCAAGGAATGAATTACAGTACTATTTTTTCATCGTGCCAAAAGCACTACACAAAACGAAAAGTTGATATATAACCCTTTGCATGTTCCTCAACAGCTAAACGTTCTGCAGCAAACGGGGAAAGACCCTCTGGAGTAGCCACTGCAGAGTATTTACGAACAATAGCAGGGATGCGAGGTACAACTTTAGCAATGCGGGTTGCAAAAAGACGCTTTTCCATAGCGAGAATAATTTAGATATGTTATGACGTTTCGAAAGTTCATAGAACTTATATAGTGGATGTTTGATATCATATGATTTACAAACATATTGGTTGTCTAATCAGTTGTCTCAGTTGTCTTGTTGAATATTCAAATAGCATGACGTACGTACGTACATTGACTTATATAGGGGGTCCTTAAAGCCCGGCAGAAGTTAGGGTTACTTTTTTGATTCAGTTAGAGTTAGCGGTTTATTAAAATATC